CATAGCAATAATATACACACGAAGAGAGAAACATAATCCAAAATTAAATTAAAAATTAATAAAAGTAGAAAGATCAATAGAAACATTGGAGACAAACAAATGGATTGCTTTATAGAGACCGAAGACAGATTGTATCATATAAAGTCATATAGATAGAGTGATACAGATAGATAGATGGTAGTTAGTAATATAGCTATGGTACCAGCAGTTATGTGTTATGAAAAGCTAGATGGACAGATAAATAGATAAACTGATAGATAGATTGATGCACATATAAACGGATGGATAGAAGGCAGATGGGTAGACTGACAGATAGGTAGACAGACAGACAGATAGGTAGATTTATGAATAGATAGATAGACAGGTAGATGCCAAAGCATATAGAGATAGATAAATAGATGGATAAATGGTCAGGCATAGACTGACAGACTTATAGATAGAAAGATGAATAATAATAGATAGACAGGTAGATAGATAGATTAGATATATAGATAGACGAGAGGAGAGATGAGAGAGAGAGATAGAGAGAGAGAGAGAAGAGGAGAGAGAGACGAGAGAGAGAGAGAGACAGAGAGAGAGACCAGAGACAGACAGGAGACAGAGAGACGAAGAGACAGACAGACAGACAGACAAACAAAATGAGATCACAGGAAAAACATAAAAAATAATAGATAGATCTTTAGGACGAAGAACCAAAATCAAACCCCAATATGGAATGGTCAAACCCGAATACAAAAAAGCTACACATTCACCGACCTGGTGTACCCAGGGATCACGTATGTATGTTTACTTCAAGGGACCCTGAGTGTAAGAGGTTCGCCCTTTCCCTCTCTCCTGGTCTTCTTCATTTTTTTTTTCTTTCTTTTCTATTTCTTTCTGCTTGGTTTCTATCTCTCTATTTTCTATGTATTCATCTATTCTACCCATCTATATCCATCATCCATCCAACCATCCCTCATTTATCAATCTACATATCCATTATATCTATCTGTCTCTCTCTCCCCTTATATTTACCATCTGGATCTATCTCATCTATAATCTATCTTTATGTAATCTATATAATTTATCAATCTCTGTATCTATCTTATCATATCTATCTCTGTCCTCTGTCTGGTGTATCTGATTATCTATCTATCTCGTCTGTCTATATCAGTCTATCCATCTATCATCATCTATCCATCTATCTGTTATCTATCTATCTCTGTACCTTGTCTACTATTTATCAATCAGCTGTCTATCCATCTGTCTGTATTCTTCTATCTATGTTACTCTGTCATATATTTACAATCAGGCTGTCTTCCATCTATCTATCTATCTATTTCTGTACCTCTGTATCTATCAATCTGGCTGTCTATTCACTGTATATTATCTATCCTGTACCTCTGTCTATATTTTCAGTCTGTCTGTCTATCCATCTATCTGTATCTCTCAATCTCTGTACCTCTGTCTATATGTTTATCAATCTGGTGTCTATCCACCATCTATCTGTATATCTATCTATCTCTGTACCTCTGTCTATATATTTATCAATCAGCTGTCATATCTATCTGTATATCTATCTATCTCTGCCATCAATCAGGCTGTCTATCCATCTATCTGTATATCTATCTATTTATGTACCTCTCTCTCTATAGCAGTGTCCGTCTCTTCTCTTCAAGGTTATTTGCCTCCAAACGCTCTTTCGCTTGTGAGCTGCATATTAATTGCTTGTTTGCCTTTTCTACGATTATATTGTTGCCGAATGGGAATGAGGAGAAAGGAGGGATAAAGGGTAGGGGGGGGGGGGGGGGAAGAGGAGGGAGAGGGAGGGGAGGAAGGGAGAGAAGGAGAGGAGGGAGGGAAGGGGAGGAGAGGAGGGATGGGGAGGAGATGGGGAATGGGGGAAGAGGGGGAAAGGGGAAATGGGGGAGGGAGAAGGAGGGAGGAGGATGAGGAGGGGAATGGGAGGAAGGGAGGGGGGGGAGAGGAGGGGAAGGAAAAGGAGAAGGAGGAGTAGGAAAAGACGAAGAAAAAGAAGAAGGAAAGATAAGGGTGGCTAAAAAGTTGTCATATTATATCGTATTCAAATATCTCGAAACCATATACAAACTAGAAGCACCCAGAGCGCGCATACCTCCGCCAAGGCAATAGTAGGATTACTAGTTACTAATGCAATAAAAATTACCTCCTCCGACGGGAAATATACCTGGATCAGGCTAATGATCCGGATCACCACCAAAATGTAATGGCATTGGGCTTCGACACATCTCTTAGCCCATAGAAATCTGTTCACACTTTTTGAATTATCATGTAAACCAATGAACAAACAAACTAACCAACGCTACCAAAAACATAACCACCTTTGCGGAGTTAATAACATGAAAACATAAGCAAAATCCTAACACTGCGAAAACACAACACCACCAGTCATAACCGTCACAAAACATACGTAACACCACACCATAACATACGTCTTATCAATACGTCATAGACAGATGACGTAACACCTCACAGAAACGTA